TTATTAACATCCAATAAAGAATAAAGTACATCAATATTGTTCAACTTTTTCAAAATAATAAGTAATATTTCATCAGGTAAGTCCAGAAAATGGATATTTGATCGGTTCATATTTTATTATGACTGTGATGCTTTTGACTAAGACAGAGCTATATATGCATATTTGTTCATTCTTTGCATCTCACCACTTTGACCCCAAACAGACTGAAAAAAAAAAAAAACAAAGTAAGCTACGTGATTGGTCTATTCCGACTTCGATCATCTTTTTTTAGACGATTTATTCGTCAATTTAGTCTTAATTCGTTTTATTTTTTTCATTCTGTTTGAATCTTTTGCACCATTGTCAAATTGAATAGGTCAATTATTTGCCAAATGTAAAACATTGATGTATCGTTCAACTTGATCATAGTCATTCAATGTTGTGTGCATTTTCGAAAGAAATTGAAAGTTGACATTGAGAAGAAAAAAGGATACTTTTTTTTTATAGCAGAGTCGGTTAAATTTCATTCGTTTAGTGTCTCTTTTATATTGGAGAATTTACCGAATTAAAATGAAATCTGAAATTTTTGCAAAAAGGCAGTTCTTTGATGGCCTTGGGTCTTTCAGTTACAAGGAAATTTCACTACATGTTATAGTAGTAGAAATATATAGATCTGGATATGATCTCGGTACACTGCACACACATGTATACTGTGAAACTGACATTTCGTGTTCATTCGAAAAACATTGTTAAGCCATTTGTTATGTAGTATAATCTCGTCACTGTTGAACTAACATCTTTTTCATTATAGAAAATATCGTTAATAGACTTAGAATTCATTGAAAGGAGAAAAAAACTTTGAGAAAAGTATGCATTGTCAAGAAAGATTGCATCATATCTATGCAATGCAACAACAGATATTGAGAGAAAGACGGAAGAAAAAAGCAACTAAAACAAATGTCGCAGGCGAAATTAAAAAGTTAGGAGAATTAAAAATGTTCCTAGGAAAAAATAAAATTTTAATTTCACCTAGGAAAATTTAAAACTTCAATTGTAACTGGATATTTTCTAGGAAAACTTAGCATTTTAGCTTCTCCTAGGAGAAATTAAAATTTTATTTTTACCTAGGAAAATTTTAAATTCTCCTACGTTTTAATTTCGCCTGCGACACATGTACGGTGATCTCGACATAAAAATTCTTGAGAAGCGATTGATATTGACTTTCAAATTGTGTACAAAAGAAAATTTTAATGATGAAATAATGTGCAATAAGATAAATAAATAATAGTTCGACGTTTGATCTTAATCTACAAAAAAGGTTGAATTTAGAAAAATAGCGAAGCAATTTTGGGAAAAGTTCCTAAAAGAATACGAGAAATGTCTTCAAGATTAATTCCATTACTTGAAAAGAAATCCATGCATAAGTATATCAGAAAATTTTTCTATTGGAACTTTTCAATACATATCGTAGATCGCGAACTTTCACCTCGTCATTATTATAGTTCTCTGAAACTATCATCAAAAGAACAAAATTTGTTCATTATGATGAAGTATAGTGGTTTTACTTCGGTAGATAATCTCACTATGATGACATTGTTATAAACGATTATAGGAGATGATTCGTATTCAGTTGGAAGAATAAAAGCATTATATTTCATTTGTATATTTACACATTTGAAAATATTAGTCAAATTATGAGAGTTTATGAGTATGTATCAGAGATGGACGGGACGCGGTGCTATGCCATCCCACCCCATCCTGCCCGGTGGGGTGGGGCAGGATTTTTAAATGGCGGGGCGGTGCACCGCTTCTTCAGAATGCTATATTTTTTTAGTACAGTCAGATCTTTAGAAATGTCTTCTAATTTTTTTAAAAATGTCTGTACAAGTAACTTCTATTAGAAAGAGTTATTCAATTGAATGTTTAACTGAGAATGTATATATTTATACACATATACACTGTCGTTATTACAATTTCTGTAGCAATATTCATTAAACCTTCGTGGTAAATTAAAACTTAATTCGTTAATATGTTGAAATACGTGAATGTCATTCATATAGGTGTCAATGTGTAGCACAAATGAAGATAATAGAAAGGAAGAAATCGAAATCTGTTGTTCCAGAAGACCATTCTCCCATGGTTCATAATATAATATTAGATGAACCAGTCAAGAGAAAACTAGAACGATTAGAGAAGATTTTTGGCATTGGAAATATCGGTAGTTTATTTGACAATGGAAGTGATGGTGAATTAGATGCTTCCCCTTCCTTTACAGAATCTATTCCGCTAGAAAGCTTGAAATAAAAATAAATGCATAGACTGATAGGCTATCTTTAAATCTTTCAGAAAAACTATGAAATTTTTCCTTTTTTTGCAAAATTTCTGATAATTTCCGCCGTATACTACTCGAAAAACAGGCACTTTTTTAAAACGAAAAATCTTTTTCGTTTTTTCTCAGTTCATGTTTTGTCAAACGCACAAACAAGAACTTTCAGTTCAAACTCAAATTATACTTTTGATTTTCTTTTTGTCTGAAAGAGCACGTCACGATATAATACATCAAAGAGTCATTCCTATAGAATAAGTTATTTTTATTATCATATAAGAAAACACTGCTCTAGGAAAATATCCATTTTTTTGAGAATTTTTGGAATTATTAAACTTGTGATTCTTTTTTTCGCTTAAAAATCAAATATTTAAAGAAGAGAACTCTCTGATGCACTGTATTTTCATATGCTCGTTCAAACAAAAAATACTAAATATATTATCATGATCTTATTGTACGGTGTCCTTTTCAAATAAATATCTTTAATTTGATTTTCTTTTAAGCTAAATTAAGAAAATCTGTACCAGATAAAATGAAATCAAAAAATAAAAGATGAAGTTGCTGTTGATCCAGATTCAGGTTAAGCATTTCATAAAAACAAAATCTTTCTTTTTTCAATATTTATTTGATATTTTTAAAGGTCTTAAAGATACTTGTCATGTTCTTAAAGGTACAGAAACTAGTGAAATATTTACTGCTGTTCTTGGTCTTGTGGATATAACACGTGGAACAAATTCTTATTATAAATTACAATTACTTCAATCTGACAATGGTCGACAATGGTTTTTTTTTTAGAGAACGATTTATGGTGGAAATAAAGTTGATGAATATAGTCGAAGAATAGACGCAATAAAAGCGTTTCATGCTTTATTTCTTGATAAAACAGAGAATGAATAGTTAGAAAGAGGAAATTTTCAAAAATTACCAAATAAACATTATCCACTTGAAATTGATTATGACCAACATGCTGATAACGATAAAATACAAAAATTACTTGAAAGTACCAATTTAAACATTCAATCAAAATTACTAAATCCAGTTCAAGATCTTGTTAAAATGATTTTTAATGTTGAAAACTATGAAACAAGTTTTATTATCATTTGAAGTTGATTTAATCAAAATGCCTTTAGGAAAATTATCAAAAAATCAATTAGATAAAACTTATAAAGTTTTAACTGAATTACAAACTTTGATTACAAATGACAACCTAGCATTAAAAACAGCTATTGTTGATGCTAGTAATAGATTTTATACATGTAGGTATTCAACTTCACAATCAATAAATTATTTTTGCTCCCTTAGAATTTCTATTCCTTAAAACTGATACTTCAGCATTTTTTATAAGAAAAATAGATTTTATGTTACCATTGAAAAGTCTATGACATGGAAAGAATCGAATTCGAGGCAAGCATCATCGCCAAAATTTAATAATCTTCGATTTTAGAGTAGTTTTCAAAATCTTATCTGAACGAATTATTTTAGCAAATGTTTAGAAAAGATTTATCAATATAAGATATTGATCAACAGGAAAATTTCCTCCATTGTATCATTAATATCATATGGAAAAATTTCATTCGGCACAAAATTGATCTCACAGTCAATGACAATTTGTTCCAAAGAGAAAGAATCCTCTTCATCGATTGATATCTTCAATGCATTTTGAGCAATCTCTCTTTCATCAGTCTCTTAATGAAAAGTTTATTTAAAAAGTTTATCAATACATGATCAGATCTTTTATCTAATGAGATGATTTTAATAAAAGATCAATTCTATTTCTGCTGAGAGATAAATCAATTCTACTATTTATCAATGGAAAATCTAAATGATCATAGGAATTAGATATTGTTAAAGCATCGTTAAATTGTTCGAAGATATTTGTAGACTTTGAGGTTTTGAATTATTTTCAGAATGTATCTAAATCTTGTATAGACAATCCTAAAATCTTTCTTTTAATCTGACTTCCATTTTGTTTAATTAATTCATTGAAAATGAGTGAAGTCGAGGCAAAACTCGAACGATCAGATTTTGCATTTCTAAAATGAAGAAATTTTTGATAATCTGTGGTATATTTATAGTAAATGTTGAATATAATTTTAGTGATTCCACATGATTTGAGTTTGAATAAATCACCATTACTTGATAATATTGAAATAATAAAATCTAAAACTGAAATGATTGATAATTTACTTGAAATCGAAATAGTATATTCGATGTTAGATGAATCAAATAATACAATCGAAAGTAGTCAACATCTATTCGAAATTTCTTAGACAATATGATCAATAGATTCATTCTCTTATTTCTTTTTTTTTTTAGTTTTTATATGAGTATATTTTTCAGAACAGTTGTTTGTATGCCAATTTAGATGCAAACTTATACAAGATGGTTTGATGGTGGTGTCCCAGCAGAAAATTGAATGAATTCCTATACTTATGTCCTTTTACACTAGTCAAAAAAAACCTTCACTTGCTTAGCTCTCCGTCATAACACCTCAGGGTTGGAACCGGTAAGAAAAAGATAAAACGGTCCGGTCCGGCCGGTTGAAAAATTCAACCGATTCAGTCCGGCCGGTATTCCGATTGGTTGTTAATCATTTCTGAACCGGTGTAATTCCGGCAAACCGGTTAATTTCTGGTCAAGCTTACCGCTTTAAAATGATTCCAAACATCCGAAAGTACGGTAGAAACTGATAAAGTTATTTCTAGTTGTAAATTGAATTATCTAATATTTAAATAACACGGTTGAAACAATATGATTTAGCTCCTCGTATCATAAGTACAGAAAACTGAAATCGATCTGGGAATAGTTTTTTTATAAGCATATCGTAGAAAATTTCAATATTCATACTTGAGAAAATATTATTTGACTTTTTATGAAACTTTTAGAAAAGATATGCATAATCTTTATAATCATGAAGCATCATCATTTTTTCAAAAGGATATTAAGATTTTCCTAAATGATTAATATAGTACTGCCTGGTCTATTTCAAAACTGATAAAACATATGCCTAATTGTCTTCGTGTCTATCATAGTATTACAAACCATCGCGATAAGTATCGATTATAAGCTGAACAAAATTTTTAATACTGGCACTATCGAAAGACTTTCTGGGCATATATGTATAATGATGGAGAATTTGTTCTACTTCATAGCAAAATACATAGTTCTTCTTACCGAATAAGAGCTAAGTAAAGATAATATTTTTTAAACTTAAACTGGTAAATTTCCGGTATTTACAGGCCCGGTTGACTTTCTAAACCAGTCCGGCCCGTTCCGGTACCGGTTCTAACGCTGTAACACCTAATAGAAGTCTAAGCAGTTATAGAACAAACAGTATCACTATTACCGCTTTCATTCGTTAGGTAGAAAAAGAATTCTCCTAGATGAGGACTTATTCAATTTTACATTGTTTCTTATCTCGCTTAGCCTAACAGTTTTTTTTTATCGAAAAGATAAGTTCGATTGCTGAAAAATGATTATCTCTTTCTCTCTCTCTCTCTCTCTCTGTTCTATCGACTAAGACACTAACCATGATATGGCATCCTTTTCTTGAGATTCCTCAGATTGAAAGTGATAATAGATATTGATTAGAACGTGATTCAATCTAATTAATATGATATATTTATAGTCGGATATACAAGAACGAGATAATAACATATTGTATTTTTTTTGCTTCTATTCATTATTTCCTTTCTTATAATTCTTGATGAGTTTTGTCTTCTAGGAAGTTTTTCAATGTTTGTTTATTTTAGATAGTTAATAATGTTATGTTCAATTTGGGTATGAGATCTACATTTCCATGTAGCATTTTTATCAATGTTAAAAATAACAATTAATTCAATAATAAAATATTGTAGAGTAGTTAATTCGTTATTGATATTATTCGTTGTTCAATGAATAATCTAATCGCATTGAGATGAACTGTTGTCAAATAAAGTTCCTTGATTTTGCAGATCAAATTCTCTTCTAGTTAAATCATCGTTAGAACTTACAATACTTAATATATGATTAAGCCCTCGACGTTTGAAAAGTTGTTTACTAGTTAGCTGAAAATGACTTAGTGTGTATAATCCATGATGAAATCTGTTGATTGTCTTTTAATTTAAACTGTGTAAAAAGATGTTGAAGAAAAAATGTGTAAGAAAAGTGTGATTTATTTGTAGATATGAATTTTTCATCTGTTGATGTTGATACACATTTTCCAGTTGATGGTTGTTTACCAAAACAGCCAACTGATGCATTATAATTATTAACAAAATATCCTCAATATGATGGATGTCAAGTAACAATTGCTGTTATTGATATAGGAATTGATCCATTAGCAAATGGTCTTCAAGTATCTTTCTTTGAAAAAAAATTTCTTTTTAGAAAACAAGTACAGGAGATGTAAAAGGAATTGATTTACGTGATAGTACAGATAGTAGTGATATGGATATTTCAACAATTATTAAAGTAACATCAAATAATAATCGAGACGATGAATCAATTCAAGATTTATCAGGAAGAAAATTAAAGGTAAAAACAAACATTGATAAACAAATCAATGAAAAATTTTTTGATAAAATTCCATCAAGTTGGAAAAATTCATCAGGAAATTATCATATTAGAATAAAATCATTAAAACAATTAATGCCAATTACTGCTTTTGAACGACTTTTAGTAAGAGAAAAAAGAAATATTTAAAAAAAATCAATGTGATTTGAATTAGTTTATAGAAAGAACGTCGTGAAAAAATGTTTGATCCTGAACATCGTCTTGCTTTAGCTGAAGCTCAACATTGTCTTAATGAACATATTAATAAATTTCCGTCACCTAATGAATTATATGACATTGAATTTGTTTTTGAAATGAAATTTTGTTATTTTGATTAGAAAAAGGAACAAAAATCAATTCGAGAGGAATTTCAGTCATTTGTTGATGCTTTAAAAGATGTTAAAAAAAAATATAATGATCCAGGTCCATTTCTTGATTGTATTGTTTGGAATGATGGAGACAAATGGATGTTAGTTTTTATTTTCTATCATATGAAATATTTTATTTGTTTATTTAATTAAAGTTTATGTATTGATACAAGTGAACAAGGAGATTTAGATCAATGTAAATGTTTAACAAATTATATTGATTCTCATGAATTTGCAACATTTAGTCCAATAGGTTACCATTTATTTATAATAAAAATCATTTTCATTGATTATTTATCTTAGATATGGTTACTTATTCAGTTCAGATTCATCATGATATTAATATTCTTGAAATTGTTGTTGCTGGAGGTTAGTTATTCTTCTCTATTGATAATTGATAGGATAAAATATTGAATAAGTCTATTGTAAATAGGTTCTCATGGAACTCATATTAGTGCTATATGTGCTGCTTATTTTGGAGATTCATCGGAAGACAATAGAATTTCACCAGATACACAACTTTTATCCATTAATATAGGTAATCATCGTTTATCAACAATGGAAACAATTCCGTCCTTAGTTCAAGCTGTATGTTTGTTTAAAATTCAATTCCTATTTAAATGACTTATTTTTTATTTGATTAGATAAAAAATTGTATTGATTATAAAGTTGATATAATAAATATGAGCTATGATGAAGATTTTCATATTCCAAATTCAGGATAATTATCAATTTAGAAATCTAAAGAAAAATTTCATATAAATTGAGGACGAGCTCAAGAATTGTTTTATGAAGCTGTTGAAAAAAACATGGAATTATATTTGTATCATCAACTGGTAATAATGATCCAGCATTAAGTGCAGCAGGTGCACCTGGAGCAACATGTACAAATCTTATTGGTAGCTAAGTTATTTTCAAAACATTCAACATTATATCTTTTTTTTTCTTTGCTTATTTTCAAGGTGTTAGTGGTTATATAACACCTGAAATGCAAATAGCTGAATATGCATTAAGAGAATGTACAGGTCGTACAATACTATTCACTTCGTCATTCGCGTGATCTATGTACTGATGGATAGTTAGGAGTTTGTGTTAGTGTACCTGGCGCTGCTATTACAAGGTTTATTTATTTTTATTTTCAATTTCGTAAAATAAAGTTTTCTTTTAGTATTTCTCAATTTAATTTATATAAAAGACAATTAATGAATGTAACATCAATGGCATCATCAAATGCTGTTGGTTGTATTGATAACGATCGAATCTTTCTTTAGAAAAAAAAAAAAAAGTGATTTATTGTTCTTATTTGTGTAGCTCTTTTATTAAGTGCATTAAAACAAGAAGAAATTGAATGTAGTCCATCATTAATTTATCATGCATTAATGAATACAGCACAAAAAATTAGATGATGAATTTTCTGTTGATGCTGATCTTATACAAATTCATTAAAACTTTAGATTATATTCGTTCATTAGCTAAACCATCATTTATATCAAAAATTCATTTAGAAATAACAGATGATCAAGGACAAGGCATTTATTTAAAAGATTTTGATCATGTTCAATCCAATTCTGGAGATACACGTTTAACTATTAAATTGAAATATTTACCAAAAAAACAAAAAAACTGATGAATTAGTTACTTATGGAAGGTACGAGGCGAAAAGATTTGTTTTCTATTTTTTTGTAAACTCTTAATTTTAGATCAAGAAATAAAAATAAAATTTGCTTGTCGTTTTTCATTAATTTGTGATCTACCAACTAGTTATGTTCAACATAGAAAGATTTACTTCATTTAGCTTATAACGAACAAACATTTTATATAAGAATTGATCTATCACATTTAAAAGAAGATCAACTTCATTTCACAGAATTACAATCTATTCATACCAATCAAATTAATGTAAGATCATTAGCTCATTTCCCAATAACAATTACTAAACCGATTAGGTAAAAATAATCAAAATGAAAAATAAAAATAAAAATAAAAATTCTTTTATAACAGTGTAAATCCTCAAAGTCACACTCTTGAATTTACCTCTCCAACATTTAAAGCTGGTCAAATTCGTCGTCATTTTATTCAAGTTTCAACTGGCTCAAAAAATATAGTGTGTATATTTATTTTTGTTTGTAAATAATTCTAAATGAATTGTTTTCTTGAATAGTTTTTAAAATAACAAACCATTCATCAGACATATCTGCTCAAATAACTTTACATTTTATTCAACTTGAACCAGGTCGTTCATGTCGTTTAACAGAATTTGAAAAAATAATTCGTTTATCATCTCATTCAACATTTCAATATTATTTTAATGTTTAAGATAAAAGAACATTAGAATTATGTTTAGGAAGATGGTGATATAGTTTTGCTATTATTGATACAAGTTATTCAATTCAATTTCATTCAATACTTATTTCACCATCAATTTCATTACATTTACGAAATAGTCAATCTTATGAAAGATTTATTTTGAGAAAATCATTTAAATAATACTTATGAAGAGATCAATAATTTACCTATTGTTAATTGGAAATATTTAGTACAAATACTTAGGGTTATCCAAAAGTAGTGGGCCAGGTTCTTTTTTTTCTTATAGAAAGCTTGAAAAAATTTTCTTTTTTTATGAATAGATAGAGCGTCTTTCGCTCTATCTTTCTATGCTATTTGATCACTATTAAACTAAATCATAATAATAAAATTTCGAGAAGAACTATTTTTGTTGAAAACCAGCTGGTAGCATTTAGATCATAATG